GAAAGTTGAACATTGCTCAACTTTTGAATCCTGAAAATCCTGAAAATCCTGGAAATCTTCGCTTTGCTTCCCCACAATGCAGTTCGGCCAAAAGCGAGTCAAAGTGACGTCACCCCCATTCAAAGTTAAAAAAAAATGTTAAGCTGCTGTGTGGACGTACCGTAAGTGCCGACGTACCGTAAGTGCCGACGTACCGTAAGTGCCGACGTACCGTAAGTGCCGGGGAACTAAGTGCCGGCACTAAGTAAGGCAAAGTACTTGGTTTGAAAGCGGCTATTATAAAGAGTCTGCTAAATAAATGTTGACACTCCTATTTCATTTTCTTGTTTGTTTACCGAAAAGTAGGCCAGTTTTTCTTGTAGATATCCAAACATGCTCTGCACTAACAAAAGCGTTACCTTGTTAACCTTTTCGAAGTATTGTTTCTACATTAGTATTAGTCGCTTTTAGAGGAAACATCCTTCCTACAGGGCTGTCTCTGCCAGTCAGTGAGCTGTTTTCCCTGGAGTCTCATGTTCTCAATCAAATGTGAAAGTGCAGCAACACGTGAAGGTGCCCTGTGTTTCCAAATGGAAAGTCAAGACCCACTAAAGGGATGCTTCTTTGTCCTCAGGGGTCATGGCTGAAAACACAACGTGTGTTTATACGAAGGGTCACCGGAGCATTCCTCAGGCCGTCACCAGGTCACAGAGCAGAAACCTTTAGGAGGGGAGGCAGCGACCATGACAGAGAGAGAGAGAGTGCCAGCAGATGTGTGAGAGGGGGAGGGAGGGGTCAGAGGTCACTCACCGTCCTGTCCTCACTGAGAGGTTCTGACCCAGGAACCGGAGGAGGTGGGACGGGCCGTGCTCCCACAGGCAGGCGTGGGCCCAGTCCTCAGAGGTCTTCGCCAGGGTGTCGTCCCACACCTGAAGATTCAAGATGAAAGATTCAAGGTTCAAGGCTTTTATTGTCATTCGTACATAGCTACAGTGTAGATGTGACAATGAACATCTTAGGTCACAGGCTCCTCCAACAGTGCAACACAATAAAACAGATTAAATAAAATATTACATGTAAATAAAATAGGATACAAAATATATAGTGCAGAAAAGTCTATATACAGTACTTGGAATATTGATATATGAGTTGCAAACAGATGAATGTTATGTATGTTCTTTCAGAATGTCAGGTGTTTAACATTCTTATACAAGTGACAGTGAATGACACACACACACACACACACACACACACACACACACACACACACACACACACACACACACACACACACACACACACACACACACACGCGTGTTGAAATGTAATTGTATCACTGTATATATATATATCATCAATAATATGTAAACATTTGAAATGTATGTTAATGTTGTTAATTATTTTGTATTGTGATGCTTTGGCAACATTGTTTAATTTAACTTTCATGCCAATAAAGCCCCTTTGAATTGAATTGAATTGATAAATCATTTGTAAGTTGCAAAACACACCATCACACACAACATCACACACAGCATCACACACAGCATCACACACACCATCACACACACCATCAGATATCATCTCAGTGACATGTGAGACCACAGCTCTGTGAAGGTGTTGCCATGGCAGGACGCAAAAGTCATCCATCAAATCTGTTACATAAACTGTGAGTCCTCCACTGAACACACACACACACACACACACACACACACACACACACACACACACACACACACACACACACACACACACAGGTAATTGGATACTTATCAACACACACTCACGTAGGTAATGTGACTGTAGCCATGAGAAAGGACTTCATTCTGCAGTAGGTTTGATCTGGATTTACAATTATTATCCTTAACACCTTAGCACTTGGTTTTTATTTAACCACCTTACTAACTTGCAGCTACAGAGAATGGAGAGGCAGCCTAAAGTCTTAAAATGGAAATAGCTCAGTTGTTTTGTTTTAAAGTTACATCCTTTCAAAGTCAAATGAGCTACTTTACACCATAATAGTGAAAACACAGCTCTCTGCAGACTGCATTCAAGCATCAAGACACAATCATTTTCTCGCAGATACTCTTTATCACACTGCTTATTAACACCACCACTTTTTTGTGTAGCTTAAAATGTAAGCTTTAGATTGGAATTTAAAGTCTGATTGGGCTTTTTTTTTCTTACTCCTGTGAGCAGGCTGCTGGCACCATACATGACCCCTCTTCCCCTGGAAGTGACTACTCTGGTGGTCTCTCCTGCAGAGCAATCTGCTCCACAGCTCAACGCCAAGAAACTACCAGACATTTGTCACTTTACTTCCTTTCCAAACTGCAGCTATTAAATCTTCCTTTGACTAAGCATTTTTCCACTAGCAGAACATGCATAGTAAAAAAACAGGAGGTCTACTATGTCATGTATTGGGATTTGAAGGGTGTCCATTAGCAATGTTTGCTAAAGCTGCCCCATTTACATTTTTTTGTGACAGTTGATCGATGGGAACGGTCCACGACACTATAAACAAACACATAAACTAAACACATGCATATTGATTACACATATAAATGAATCAAAGCTCTCACTTACCATGTACTCCATGTTGGCTGCGGGGGGAAACACCTTCCCTCTCACTTTGTTGTGGTAGTCAAGAATAGCGAGCATGTCATTCTGGCTGATAAAGCGCTTCCTCCGGCTCCTGGAGAAGCTGGAGGAGTCTGTCCCGGAGCTTTGAGTCGCGGAGGTGAAGTTATTCCCCGACAGAGACCCTGAGGCTGCGGGGATGGTGCTGGACAATGCACTGGCACCATATGACATGCACAGAAGTATAAAGTCTACGGCGAATAACTGAGACTGCATGATGGATTAATGAAGCTGCAGTATATAGCGATCTGTGGAGTGATCTGCAAGGAAAGCACAAAGACACTCCTAAAGTTTTGTCGCAAATAACATGCATAACAAAGCAGACTAAGCTCCAAATACAGGACAGAAATATCGCCGCTCCTACCTTCTCTTGCAGCGGGACTTGTGCCTATGTTTCCCGGCTGTATCCCCTCTGGAGCGCCGGTGCTATGCTGCAGAGAGAGAGGAGGAGGAGGAGGTTTTACGCTTTGCAGACTGTGAGTGCTTCAGGATCAGTCCTCTCTCAGGGTTTATATGCTCTGCAGCGGACAGGAAGTGCCTCAGAGGTAGAGCTCTGCCCCTCCTGTCACCTGAAACAGCAGATGGTGGGTTTTCCCTCAGCAAGTACATTTACTATATCAAAGACTGTACAATTTTGAGGCACTCTACTTGAGCTTTGACATAGTTTGCTTTGGACTGAATTCCATGCATGTGATGACCTCGCAAATTCAGATAAATAAAACAAGATATAATCAGCTTACTATTGCTCATGTATTATAGTTTACAAGCTTCTAGACACTGTGCACAAAGTAAGAATAAAGGAATACATATCCTCCTTTACCAGCTGCATCATCCAAGTACTGAACACATGTAGCCTATGCATAAATAATTATTCTGCAGAATTAGTAGGCCTACTTTAGGAACATTACAATCTAATGCTTTTGTAGTTTTACTTCAGAAAGACCTATACTTTAATTTGTATCAGAGTATTTCCAAGTATAACGTCTGAATACCCCCTCCACCTCTTTTTTCCTGACTCTTTCCTGGCAAATCTTGCTCAATTTCATCATGAGGTTTGCAGCTGCATGATATGGAAAGACACAATGAATGAATATTAAGGCCTTTATCAAAGCAAATCTTTATCAGTGTTTCTAATGGATGTGATTGATGAACATAAGTGTGTGTGTGTGTGTGTGTGTGTGTGTGTGTGTGTGTGTGTGTGTGTGTGTGTGTGTGTGTGTGCGTGTGCGTGTGTGTGTGTAGGGTGAGAGCAGGTTTCTAACACCAATCAGTGTGTGAGCTGCCGTTTCTTTGTCCGTCTGTAAAGATGACACTTGTTCTGCTCAGCGAGGCTCCAGCTTTGTGCAGACGCAGAGCCAGAGAGGGAAAAGCCTCCGCAGGTCATCGTTTTCATTGGCAGCTGGAGAACAAATTAAAGAAACGTGACGCAGGAACAATTTTCCTCCTCCTTCTTTCTTCTTTCTCTTCTTTCTTTCCTTCCTCCTCCTCTTCCTCCTCTCTTGTTGCCGGCACATTGGTGCTTTCCCAACAAAATCTTCTTGGAAGTGATGGACTTCTCAGGTGCTGGAACTGGTGGTCGGGATTTATCACTCAGAAGAGTGGCAAATAGTTCCCCCTAATTCACTCCATCCATACATTTCTGCTCCAGGAAAGACTCAAAAAGAACATTCAAAGATGAATATGTGTACCTGCTCAACCTGATCCAGGGCTTTGCTTAACGCCAGCACAATGTGCCGAATTCATTCTTGTATTTTAGGAGGGAAAACATTGTTTATTGTGTGCAAAAGGAAAGAAAATAGGTTGTTGTCTTTATAATTTAACCTGTAAAACACAGCTGAAGAAAAGAAGAAGGTCATCCAACAATGAAAGATAAGAGATGAACGTAAGTTAGGTAAGATTACCTAAAAAACCTCAGCTAAAGGAAAAGCTGGAAGACGATCAGCTTTTAAGTGAAAGATAAGATGAAATTACCTACAATCGAGAAAGACCTGCTTTTTATATGTTCCACTGCATTTTACCCAACAACCAATATTTACTCAACCTATTCAAAATATTTAGACATGTTGTGATTCTGCTTTCTTTGTGTCCTGTTATGACTGTGCACCCTCACATCTGCTCAGTATCTTTGACTCATCCTCTCATCTGGTATCAATATGGAGTCGGCTCTGCAGCCAGTTTCTGATGGACACGGTGCGGAGATCCATCCACAGGTTTATAGCCATATTATTGTCCATATTATCCGATTAGCTAAACACCTGTTTTACAGCCTTTCACACTATTTTCTGCATGTCTACGGAGACTTCCAATCCAAGACTAAACACTGAGTCAAAAGTTTGATTGTGGAAAACCAGAATTTAAAAGGATACTGTGCTCCAACTGTATCACACACACACACACACACACACACACACACACACACACACACACACACACAGACACACAGACACACAGACAGACAGACACACAGACAGACAGATATAGACACACACACACACACACACACACACACACACACACACACACACACACACACACACACACACACACACCAGATGATATTCCCTCACACTCAGAGAGCTGGTACGTGTTTGCACAGTGAACCCAGTGACATTGGAAAAGCATTATTATCATATTGTCACCGTGATTAGGGCATTATTCGGGACGCTAGCTGCTCCGAAGGGCCTCGGTCTGTTTGGGAAAGGCATTATTTTTCAGACAAAGCATTTATTTACTGTACCTACAATATATTGTTCCAAGTTTCCCCCATGTTTCCCCCCTCTGCAGAGGCCTCTCGAAGCCCAGTGCTGGTGCCAGTGGAGAGAAAGAGGGCTGAGCGAAGGGGAAAGGGAGAACGAGAAGCAGAGTTGCATTAGTTATGATTCTACATGCGTCCAATCAAAGCAGAATTAATTAAAGAGTCAGTATAGTTTGCAGGGGTTATTTTATGTGCATTTGTGCGATTAATGCAAGAGCAAAACAAACAAGCATCTGTTTTCATGCCGGATAAAGTAAATGAGTGTACGTTGGACAGTTTTTGACTGCAGATTTGGAGTTTATTGTACTGCAGGACATTTCAACAAGTGACAAAGTGATTCTGGATGTCTCCTCGCTCTGTCCACTCGTCCAGCAATCAAAGCGCACGCTGCACCGTGCACTCCACCCAGGGCTATTGTTACTGCGTTGGCAGAGAGCAGCGTGCAAGGGAAAGTCACTATCGACAGCATGTGAATGCATCACTGGGAAAAGGTTGAATGTGACATGAAGGAGCAAAAGCTTTAGCAGTAGGAAAGAAGAGACAGTTTGTATTTGAGTTTATTTGTGAGTTTATTCAAGTTTGCTCAACATTTTAGGGAATATTTGTCGTCCAGATAGGAAATATCCTGGCACATAAACCACTGCATTTAGTTTTCATACTTTTCTTTGGATTGAACTTGTGGAAATTTTTTAATTGCTATTTCACATTGTTTTAAGTGAGGTTGTATGAGGAACTTCTCCAAAGTAAGCTATAGCTTCTGTAAATAATACATCAACTATAGAGACGTACCTCAGAAAACCTCACTTTAAAACAAACAAACTATCCCTTTAATTAGAGAGCAGCTTTGTTACCTTTGGACAAAGTTAGGTTATCTCCCGCCCTTGTTTCCAGCCTCTATGCTAACCCTAAGCTAACAAAAGCAGCTTCAATATATTCACCGTTCAGCTATGAAACATTTCACACACTTTCTGACCGTTTTTGTTTTTTTAGCCAGCCGTGCCAAGTAATGCAACTTAAGCGTACTTATTACTTGCAAAATATGTCTTATACTGTATATTGTTTTATTTTTTTAGAGGCAATTGTCCCGGGGCAGCTGGGAAGTTGTTATGTCATGACTTGGTTTTTGTTGGCTAAGAGGCTTAAAAAAAAAAGTGCCATTTCAAGAGTGGTTTACATTGGTCAGCAGCCCAGTCTCTAACTTCAAGCTGCCCAGGCTGCTTTCTTCCACACACTGCTGTTAAACATTGTATCAGTGGAATATGCAGTTACATAGCAAATACTGTATGTTTCACACAGTCTGCTAACCTACAGCGGGGCGAAGGCTTGTTGACAGTGTCCAGCGGGTGAGAAAGCTCCAACTCAGTGATTGTTACTCCTCCCTTATCCAAAGAGAACAGTAATTCAATCAATGAATACCTGCGACCGAATCAAAGAGTGCCCTCGATGATCTTCCACCTATTTCAAAATTAAATTCCTCCTGTGTTTAGAGTGCATATACACAACGGTGCTAATACAACATCAAATAATTCTTGTTTCGTAGAGTCCAATGCCAGCTGGTACTGTAATACAGTCGCTGAAAGATTGCCCAATATAACCCGAAGCTGCATTGTCTTGTATTTGCAGAAGAGCACCTCCACAAACACGAGTCTGCATGTTTTCTGCTGTTGTCTAGATACAAGTCTGGCTGTTGTTTGGCTGAAACTAAGGCGACTTTGTCCCCAACCTCGGTCACAGGAAGGAAACGAACAGTAAAAGACCGCTAACTCAAAGATAGTGAGAGAAACAGAGGCTCCGATTCAGCAGAATTTAAACATTTCATTATAATTCAAGTGGATGATTCCTAAAAGACAAAATTAGCAACTTTCTGCACAAGAAACTTTATGCAAGAGCGATCCAAACAATCCTAACAAACATGATGTCGGCAGAACATACACAATTAAACACCCTTTTCCCCGAAACGCTGTTGAGAGTGTGGGAAAAAACCTAAAGGATAACTGGAAGGGGGGCTTTTTTGGTTCAGGAATAAGTTGCTCGGTTTGCGAATCTATTTTTGACATGTTACATTCCTTTAGCGCCAGATATTCTCACCCATCTATAAGACATTTACAACCATCTTTGATGCTCGGGCTTGTAAGAGTGCAGAGACGGCGCTGTGGTCGCACTCAGACATTTCTCAAGAGGTTCAGATGTCAGCGGAGAGAGAGACAGGCAAACATGAAAATCCAGCAGCACCTAAAGTTAGAGCTCAGGCATTTTATGATGTATCTTCATGACAACAGGTAACAAAAAATATCACCTGGAGCTCAGGAGCGAGCTGCCAAAACCAAAAGGGTTTACTGGAAAGCTTTGACACTGCTCTGTTTGAGTGTAGAACAATATATACATTCAAAAATAACCTCACAAAGGATCATCTGTTGTTTTATATGCACAAAAAACAAGTGAAAAAATGACTCTACTTTGAGCCCAGTTATCTGTTACACCCTGCTCCTAGATGCTAAGCTAAGCTAATTCCTCTAACAGCGCTGTCAAAAGCCATGCAACATAAAGTTAGTTTTTATCAAACTCCGGTGAATTTTGTTTGGGCGTTTGTGAACGCAGCAATCAGAGATGACGCAAGTAGAAGTACAGATACTCGTGTTTAAAAATACTCTGGTGAAAGTAGAAGTACTGACTAAACTTCTTTACTCAAGTAAAAGTAAAGAACTTTGAAAT